TTTAATTATTTTTATTTTTATTATTTTTTCTCCCCTTCCTACAGTTGTATCTTGGAAGAGCCATGGAGCTGGAGGTAACTGTCAAGGTAAATTGTTGCTTGATGTGATTTTTGTGCTTGCTCTCGCCAGGCCCAGAAGAAGCTGGCTCGGAGCTGCAGCAGAGCCATTCCCAGCCTGTCTGTGTGGTCGGTCATTTGTAGCAGGAACTGACTCATCATGTCCCACTACTGCCAGGATTTTTTCACTTTCTCTAGTGGGGTTATTCCTTTCAGAGCCAGGCTGTTCAAGCATGGCTTTTCAGCTCCCTTGAAACAAAATTCAGCTTGTGGCACTGATTTTTTCTTGTTGGCTCTGAAATGTAGAAGAGTGTCACTGACTGAGCATCTGTGTCCCTCTGAAGGGTTGTATGGGAAGGGATTCGTTCCCTCAGGGCAGGACAGAGGGAAGCCTGCTCCCATCCTGCCTTCCCAAAGTCCAGGCTGATGTCAGGGACATTCAAGTTCTTCTGCCTTTCTGATGTCCCAGCCACATTGCAGGGTGAAAGCCATTGCAGAGGGGCTGTTGAATTAGACACAGAACATGTTTTTCACAGACCGAATTGATGGTTATATGTGTGAGGGGATGGTGTCCTCCGTTTCAGAAACAGGAGAAGTAGTCTTGGAGTGAAGGTGTTTAAAACAACAGGGCCAGCACAGAGCATGATGATCAGCCCCAGCGTGGCTGCCCTGCTCTGCTGAAAACAACATTTTTTCTGGCCCTAGCTTCAGCATGCCAGAACGCCTCTCCACCCTTCCTTATTTTTAATCATTGCTGCGTTTTGCTCTGATGGGCTTTGCTGGCAAATGCTTGACTTAGCCTGCCTTGAAGTAAAGCTTATGTGAAAGGCATGCAGATTTATTTGAAAGTTAGTTTTCCTCGTTTCCTCCTCTTCTGCTGAAAACAACATTTTTTCTGGCCCTAGCTTCAGCATGCCAGAACGCCTCTCCACCCTTCCTTATTTTTAATCATTGCTGCGTTTTGCTCTGATGGGCTTTGCTGGCAAATGCTTGACTTAGCCTGCCTTGAAGTAAAGCTTATGTGAAAGGCATGCAGATTTATTTGAAAGTTAGTTTTCCTCGTTTCCTCCTCTTCTCTTTCCACAAAGACTGGGAAGGTCCCAGCCCTGTCTTATCCAAGCTCCCCCTGAAGTTGTTGCATGCAGTGCACTACCTTCAGATGTGCATGCCAGATGGGTAAGCATTCCTCAGGGAATCGTGCCATGTGCATGCAAGGGAGACTGTGCCACAGAGGATATGCTACACTCTGGTCCAGCAGGATGGCAGGGGAGTAAGTGAATCTAGAATATCCTTAAACAGGTCAAGTGTTCTAAGTGTGCTGAGCATGACACAATTGGGATACCTTGACTTTGGGAGCTAAATCACTGTAGACCTGGTTGATAATGGAATAAGTGAAGAAAACAGTGTAATATGTTCCAGACTGCCTAGCTGTTACAGTGTGTGATGGGAAACCAGCTTTACAGATGTCACAGCCTGCCTGAGTTTCATCCATGAGTGTGGAGGGATGTCTGCTGCTGCTAGAACGTGTTGAATTTAGCATAGCTGCTGCTTATTGAATTGCCCTTCATTAGAGTCTATCATAAGCACTTTACCGGGGGAGGCAAGTATTACTATCTGTATTCAGCATCTGGGTAAACTGAGGCACAGAAGGAGAATGGTGTACCCAGAGAGACCCTGGAGGTAAGGAGAGATGTCAGCCTTTCCCCTGAGTAATACCTCCCAGACCTTGCTAAAATAACCTGTCCAGAACTCAGCTTGCAGTAGTCATGAAGAGGGTGTCTGTATATCCTAAGCCTTCAGTGATGTGGGCATTGAGTTTTCTCACCACCTAAAAAACTTGACAACGGAAGTCTCACTTTAATGTTAACAATCTGGCATTTTCCCTGAACAAGAGGCTTATGTTACAGATAACCCATGTTGTTGAACTGTTTGCCTTCTTGTGTTTATTAAGTAATAAGCTAGCTAACTGTTGGAATAATTGACAGAATCATCCCTTACTCTTCGACCTGATACATGTATGGGGACCTGCTATCAGGATGAAGTTTTGAGTTGGGGATGTTGGCAGGTAAGGTTCCTTATGCAGCCCCGTCAGCTAGTTTTGGTGAGCAGGGGAAAGAGCACGCTTTCCTTCTTGCTGGGTGTTTCTCCTTCACATTACAGCCGCTGCTCTGAGAGGCAGAACAAGCTGGGAGCTGCTGTACTGTTTATTTCACTAAATGGCAGATGCTGGCACTTCCTTTCTTTCTAAACTTATGGTGGTTTATGGCAACATTGACTCCCGTAGTACGCTGGTTCCCTAGCAGGGTGCAGATGTTTCTTGTCAGCTTTGGCCATCTTTCAGGGCTATAAATATTGCCTTTAATAAAGAGCAGTGGTGAAACAGGGCTGTGATTTATGAGCGAGGTTCTGCAAGTTGGCATGGCTTTTGAAGCAGCATTTGGACGTGGAAGGCTCCGTAGATGTGGTAGCTTACCTGGTTATCCTTTGCTTCTGTCATTTGTTAGAGCTGGGAGTTTGGATGCAGTTGTGCCTGATTTGAATGGATAAGGCGTTGCCTGGGGTGTGTGTTGGAGGACTCTGGAATATCCTTTCTTCACAGTTTTGAAGTAGACCAAATTTAGTGAGTTTTGGACAATAGCTAGTACTTTTGGAAAGGGCTGAGGAAGCATTTCCCGCAACAGCAGTATTGGAAGGGGCTTTTTTTGTTTTCTAGGGTAGCTAGGTTGGCCAGTGATGTTAATGATGTTGGAATTGCATTTACAGTAATAATTTCCTACTTGAGCACTGAGCCCTGTTTGTTATAGCACCTTATTATTTACACAGAAATAAATGCGATATCAAATCTACAGTACTTGCAGGAACAGGTTAGATGTCTCATTTCCCCAGATACTTGATAAAAAAAGTTACACCCACAGTGTGGATGTGTGACACTTTTGGTGTGCTAGCAGCTTGAGGAGGATGGAAACGGGTGATTGGGCAAGTCTCCTTCCTGTAGTAGCACTGCACACCTTTTCTCTTAAACCAGACATAGGAAGAGAGGTAGGGCACAGGTGATGAACTGTGTGGAAGGAGACATGCAGAATAGCAAAATTTTTTATTTTAAGCTCACATTATATGAAAATCTCCTCTTTCAAGGGTTAGTAAGTGTCTAGCAGACATTTCAGTAAAGGGCTAGATAGTTGTTACTGGAGCACAGCGATCGGTTGTTCTAACCATGGCTTGTCAAGCCCGAAGATTACAGTGGTGTATGAAACCATGGTATGTTGAAGTGTTGTGTTTAAAATAACCTTTAACTCATTCCACTCATATTTACCCTGTGCATGACCCCTGCTGATAGTTCATTAGACCTATGTAAATGAGGATTTAGTGGAAAGAATTTCTGTATAGTGTTTTTTAAAAATAGGAATGCTGTCACACACACATACACACACAGAGCTGAGATTTTGAAAGAATGTTCATGTCAGTGTCGGAGAAAAGCTTTTCCAATGTTAAAAGCCTGACTGCGTGCAGGGGTGTGTGTGTGTGGGTGTGCTTTCTGGTGTGGAGAGCTCTTGCCTCTTTGAGGGGAGAAGCAAAGCAGGCACACAGCTCAGCCAGAGCTTTTCTACTGTAGTAGTGGTGGGAGGAATCTATAAATGCATGATTTATGTAAAGTGCCCTGGGATTGCCATGCTAAACATCCTGACTTTGAACAGCCAGTGAGAGAAATCATTGCCACCACAAGGGAGCAGGAAGAAAGCAAGCAGTTCTCCAGGCTGGCCTGGGTGGCTTGTGCCTCTCTCCTGTTCCCCGAACTGGGTTCCTTGCTCCGAGTCCTGCTTTTTCTGGCGGTGCCTCCCCGTGGGATGCCTGCTGATCATAGGCGGCACAAAAGCCACTGAGACTTCTGCTGATGTTATTTTAGATTTGGGGAGTTGTATTGTTTCCAGGACAACTGGGGAAGAACGAGGAAGGAACTTGTGCCGAGTCAGCTTGGAGCTACTGAACACCCTGGCTTGCTTGCTGCATTTTCCCCTGGAAAATGGCTACTGGCATCTTTTACAGGGACGCCTTCCAGCCAAGTAAGCAATAGGGTTAAAAAATTGTAGTACAAGAAGCAAATGAGGAGCCAGTGTTTTCAGCTGCAGTTGTAGGTTGCTAATAGCAAACAGCTCTCTGTGAAGTGAGCACAAGTTTTGGACACTCAGCACACTCTGAAGGTGAGTTTCTGGTATGTTTCTGGGCTGGAAAGCTGGTATTTGGGTCTCCATGTTTAACTCTCTTAACCCCTGATGACTGTTAAATAAATGTCCCTGTTCTCCGCAGCTCCATCAAACATGTGGAATTTGCTATACTGCGTAATCTTGCCTCTGTACTATTAATTGCCTTCTATTCTAAGAGGAATTTAATCCTTCTTGAAACTGTAATGTCACCTCATTTTTCTTCTTCCCATATTCTTTCTGTCTCATAGCAGTGCTGAACTGCAGAATATGGTTTTAGACTCCAGTGCTGCCATGGGGAGCAATGAACTTCAGGAGAAAGATGCCACTGGAGCCCTTGTCTATGACTTCAGCAATGGCAGCAGTAGCAGCAATTTGGAAGCAGCCAGGCGCCTGGCTAAGCGCCTCTACCATCTGGACAGATTAAAACGCTCCGATGTGGCAAAGCATTTGGGTAAAAAGTACGTGCTGACATGCGGCGTTTGGCCACGTTGTTGTTCTTGCTGGTTCTGGAGGGTTGGCTCTCAAATGGTAACCTTTACTTATTTGTTTTGTTTGTTTAAAGCAACGAATTCAGCAAGCTTGTGGCTGAAGAATACCTTAAGTTTTTTGACTTCACAGGCATGACGCTGGACTGCTCTCTCAGGTACATGCCCTTTTGCAGAACTTACGTTCATTTTTTGGAATCGGTGCTGTTTGCTGTGTTGTCCCAATTGAAGCGGTTGCTCTGTGGGGGCTTAAGAGGGTGAAGAGAGGGATGTGATGCGTTTTTGGGACAGAACATTTGTCTTCTGTTTGGTTTGGTGTGTTGCTGTACTCCAGAGTGCTATTGGAGTGGTGGCGTTTCCTGGAGAAGGAAATCTTTGAGTGGATCTGCTTAGAGATGTTATCTGCTGGGAGATGATCCTTGATGCAGAGGAGATGGGGGAAAATGACCAGTCACTCGGTAAACTGGGGACTTGTAGTCTGCCATCTGCTGCTGGGGAGTGAAGGTGTTCCTCGCAGCTGAGCTGCACAGACTTTTCAGCTCATGCCTTTTGGAGCTTGCTCTGCCTGGCTGCAGTGCACAAAGCCAGGTCCAGGGTTTGATGTGGCTTGGCAGCCCCCCTCGTCGTGTCCCTCTGAGGCACCCAAAAGTGTGCAGAACAGCAAAAGCTGCCACGTGGAAAATGCTGTTGAGAGTTTGGTAGCTGCCGGCATGGGTGTTTGGAAACCCAGCCCTTCAATTTTCCTTCCTTTTTACACTGGAATTAGGACTCAACAATGTTTGTTTTCAGTACTTCTTTTTTTTATTAGGACTCAAAACACCAAGTTTGTGTAGCAGTGGCCTGTTAGCATGGTTGCTGGTGTCCTGCTATTTTAAGGGATTTAAAAGGAGTTTAAATCATCTGGCTGAGGATACTCAAGTTGGTGATTTTCATTTTTTTTCTAATGTTACAAAACCAGGAGGTCCGCAGGTGCTTGTCTGTCTCATTTCAAATGCATTTCCAGGGGGCTGACTCCAGAAGACGGGTGTCAGACCTCAAGGGAAGCCCAGAGTCCTGCCTGCCGAAGGCGAGAGAAAGGAAATGTGCCCGTGGAAAAAAGAATTGCCTGCTCCTATGGCAGGGAGATGGGAACCGAGCTGCAGCACTGGCTCAGCACAGCTCTGGAGCAGCTGGGGCAGTTGGGAGGTTTGCTGTTCGTTCTGGGTTTTAGAAGCCCTGAAGCACAATGCTAAATATACCTATCTTTTAAATTGTGAAACCCAATACCTAATTGCTTTGTGGTACATATATAGGAGTTCTTTTCTCCCGGTAGACTCCTGGTAATATTAATAGTCTTGACCTTCTCTAAAATATGCCTTGGCCCATGTGGTCCTGAGACACGCCAGGGGTTTGCTGAGGTTTTAGGAGTAAGGGACAGAAACCTGGGGATCCGAGGCATGCAGCCTCGCACTTGCAGAGACTGAGAGGTAACCGCCCTGATGCTGCTGGCTCCCTGACAAGTTGTGGTTTGTAAAGCATTTCAGAGCCCGTGGCAGCAGCACAGACTCATGCTACCCCAGGCTGTGGGAGCCTGTTGTGCAGTTGGTATCACCATCCCTGGCAAGTCTGGGACCTGGGGAGGGTTGTTCCTTCATCGTCCTGCTCTGCTTCCACACCCTGGACCCATGTTGCCCATGCATCTCCCGAGTGCATCTCTTGTGTCCTCTGCAGGACTGCAGGAAGAGAGGAGGTGGGACTGCTGCTCCAGTCCCTGTCAGACTCCATCCTGGTCCTCACAGTGAGGAGAAACTTGCCCTCGTGGCCACAGCATCATGCTTGGAGGGTGAAGAACCTGCCTTGTTTATTTACCAAAAGTTGTTCCATCAGTTGCCTTTCCCAGACGGCTTCCAGGGCAGCAGAGGTGTGGAAGAGGAGGAGAGGGTGTAGGTCAGTGGTCCTGGCATGGGCAGAGGGCGTCACTGGAAAGAGCCCAAGCTGGAGGAGGAGGAAAGATGCTAGTTGTCAAAATGTCCCATGGGGGCATGAGGTAGGAGGGGAAGAGAAACCGCGGAGACTCAGTTGTATCTACTTGTGAATTGGGTTATTTGCAATGCAGTACATGTAAAATTAAGTTATTACCAGGCAGATCACACTCTATATGAGTGCGAGATTGTTTGAAGTACAGTCCATCTCTGACGCTAAGTCAAAGAGGAAAAATTAATGTTTGTTCATCCAGGCTAGATAGATGTGAATGTTCCAGCAACATATCCCATGTCTCTCCCATCTGGTGTTGGTTTCAGTCTCATGCAGTCTCATGGGGTATTTAAAAATTGCCTGCTAGGCACTCATTTTGTATGCCGTCTTGGTTCAGACCGAAGGTTTGTGTTTTCAGGCTTTTCTTAGAAGCATCCTCACAAATGAGTGTAGGCTGATACCACTGAGGTCATCTCCTGGCTCCAGGATGTGGGGATTCTGGGAAGTGCAGAAGTTCTTCTTTGGCTCCAAGGCAAGCTTTTCTAGCAGGAAGAATAGCAGTGTGGTTAAGAGGCGGGGAGGTTAAGTGTTGGATGAAGAGTTGAAGATGTGTGTGTGTCCTACATCTTTGCACAGGCTTTCTGGCTGTGCCTGGGAAGTGTGCCCTGGTGTGCACCAGCCCTGTGCCTTGGACTGTCATGGGCAGGAACCCAGCAGGGCCAGGTTGCTCCTCCTGCTGTTGAAGCTCAGTGCGAGGTGTTGGGACTCTTCTGCCCTCTTCCCCAGATGTTTTCTGCAGATCAGGTAGTCACAGTGCCCTCTGCAAGACAGCTGGTGTGGTCCTGGCCACTCTGGTAGCTAACCCTTCAGAATGAGTTGATGTGACATCTGAGTCTGCAGTCCACCTCCTTGACTCCACTGCGTGGAGTAGTTCATCTGATTTAGATGGAAATACCAGTGAGTGTCAAGTTGAAAGGTGCAGGGATGACAGTCAGTTACCAGAGGACAGAGAACTCTCTGGATGTCTGTCATGCATGAACAATACCTACTCCAGTTCCTTCTCCAAAGGAAAGAAATATATTACAAATAAGAACAGCTCTTTCAAATGGTCTAATTGCTTATTAGTTTGTATATTCTGTGGCTGAGACAAGTGGTAATTTAACTCCTGCTTCATTTACTATAATGCTGGGATTAACTGCACATGGGATAATGGCCTGTTTTCCTAGAAAGGCTTCTTGGAACCAGATCTGTGGTGTGCACTTATGTGCTTCTTGCTGTGAAGTGTTCTTTGCTCTGTGCGCTGTGTGAGGCAAAAGGAGATTATGACTTTATTTCACCTTTTTCTGCTCTTTCAGGAGTTTCTTTAAAGCCTTTTCACTTGTCGGAGAAACTCAGGAACGAGAGAGAGTTTTAATCCACTTCTCCAGCAGATACTACGAGTGCAACCCAAACACCATTTCTTCTCAAGGTGACTTTGTTTCTGATACATAGGTCTTTGGTTGTCACCCTCTTCCTTCATTCTTGCCTTCAATAGCATGTATGCTGCGTGCCTGGGAACTGAGGGTGTGTCATTACCATGCCACACTTTAGAGTGGTGATTGCTGAAACCCTCCACGTTGACCACATGCAATTGTGGTAAGGCAGTGGAAAATCTGTATTTATCCCCAGTTAGGGAAGGTGTTTAGGCTTCCTCAGTATAAATCCTCAATTGTAGCATCTCCAGATTTGAATGTCCTCAGTTGTGGTTTCTGGTCTTGCTGATTTCCACAGCGTGTGTGGGTACCTGTACTCTGTGCAGATATGGATGAGAATAGGTCCCATCTCAGGTGGAAGAGAAGCTGTTCACCTTCCGTGCTCCATTCAGTGCTTGTGTCTCTGCATGCACTGGCAGCAGGCATGCCAGTTCTTGCCAGTTGTGGGGGGTGAATTTTGGGTGCTGAATCCAGACCCTGGCATGGTTCCATCTCGACTAGCTAACATCAGTCAGCGTGTTGCCTTCTTGCCAGTGTTTTCTGTCATTTTGGAAATGGATGGGGGAAACAAACAAGCACAGGGACCAAACCTGAGAAAGCTGGCATTGGAGAAGAGGATGAAGTGTCCTCTGGCATAGCTGCTGCATTCAGCCAGCCACGCCAGCACAGGAACGTGGCCCTGTGATTGCAGTGCTGGCTGATCACACGCTGCGAAAGGGAGGAGGATGAGAAGGAAAACAAGCATGGGCTAAGCTGTGCATTTAGTCTCAAGTGTAAGTGGGAAGGAGCTGCTACACTTGGAGGTACCACTACACTTCCTTACCCCTTGCTTTGCGACCTGGGCCCCCACTCCCACCCCCATTGGTTGCAGTGAGCTGATGTTTGTCCACTTTGTGCCTCATGGGCTTTATTGGCTGGCATGCCGGGGCGGGGAATAGGTAGCAGTAATGCAGGATCTGCTCCCATGCTATCTCTGGCCTCTTCTTAAGGCCTTTCTTATTCCAAGACACTGCAGGCAGTCAGGTAGAATGGGGGTGTCATGTCCAAACCAAAATAATGACTTTGATGTTGATGTGGCAGCCTTACTCTAGTCCACAGTGCCAGAGGCACATTGCCACTTCAGACCCTGAGTAAGCATTTAGATTAAAGTGAGTCCTGCAGACTTTGCCCAGGATTCTACATAATTTTGATGCTGTATTTCTACTGTCAGTAGTCAAGTGCTACACTGCAGAAATGTGGTGGTTGTTCCTTACAATGGAAATCCAGGGCTGCATTTGCCTTCTCTTTCTCCCTTTCCCTTTTCCATTCTCTGGATGCAATTGTGGTTTGTAAATGAGAGGACAGGCTACTCTAGAGAAATGCACAGCCCCAGATTCAAGCTGCTACTGCTAGTGATAATAGTTCTTCACCCATTTCATGCTGTGCTACAGTCTGGCCACTTTGCTTACATGCTAATGCCTGTACAAACATTGTAAGAAGAAATGGTCCTTACCATGGAGAATATCTTTTTGTAGTGGCTTCATCTTGCGCAATTTTAAGCCTGTGATAGTCACACTGAGTGCAAGATACATATATCCTCATCCCCTATTCCTCTCCCTTGACAGTGCAGAGGGACCTGTGCGTGGTCATTATCTGGGGTCAGCTACGAAGATTTTTATGTACATCTTCCTGCAGTGCGTGCATGTCTCCTAAATGACGTTGTGTCTTTATGACACCCCTGTGAAAGAAGGGAAGGTCACACCATGTGTTTATGAACAAGAGGATAGAGAAAATATTTTTCCTAATGTCTTCCTAGCGTTTGGAAACTGGCTAGAGGCATTTGGATTTTCAGAGGTGATAAACAGCATCATAGGCACTGGATTCGTGCATAGCCAATACATTTCGGGTTTTGAAAGGGGTGTCTGGAAAATGAGCAATATGAATTTGGTGTTTACTGTTGCAAATGACAGTCTGCACTGACTTTCCCACAGTCTACCACAGTGACTCCAGGCATGGAGCTAAGGACACAATCTGTCTCATTATTGAAGGCCACCTTAGAAATTGCTGGAGCACTCTCTACACAATATAGAGCCCAGGCAGTGTAAATACCTGACTGAAGTTCTCAAAAATTCAGTCTAATTGAGCCCTGAAAGAGGAGGGGCCTAGAAGGGGAGGAAAACAGGATACTGTGGTGTATCCACTCTGCACACAAGAATGTGTGTATTTTACTCTTCCCTTACTGCCCTGAAATAAATGAAGAAGAGGGAGCTGATTCAGGCAGTGGTATTGGTAGTAACAAGCAAAGGGTGACAGCGTGGTTTCCTGTTTAGTTTGCATCATCCATAAGTACTGCAAGATAGTTCTGACAGTCATTGAAAGATGAAAGAAAGGCTGTTCTGGCTTGGAAGCTGTGGGATGACCTCACTGTTCATGTATTTAATTATGTGTATTTCTTGATAAAATAGATTCTCATTAAGGGAACAGACTCAATTAGGCTGTGAGTCTCAGTTTCAGCTATTCTTAAAGGTCCAGTTGTGGGTTTGCATGTGACTCTGGTTATGTCTCTTTCTGCAGATGGAGTTCACTGTCTCACGTGCGCCATGATGCTGCTGAACACAGACCTGCATGGCCATGTGAGTATTCACGTCTTTGTGTAGACTGCTCCCATTGATACTGTACTTGGAGGGGGGTGGTTGTCTGGCAGAAGTGTCCCTGGGCTGGTGGCCTGCTCCTAAAGCACCCCTGCAGGCAGCTAACAGTGAGAAGACTGCACATCCAGGCATTTCCAATGTGCCCAGATCAGTCGTGTAACCCTGGCATTGTTCCTGGCTTTGCCATGAGTGAGAATGCTCCTTGTCCTCAGGCCCCTGTCTTTCTGGTGTGCTTCCCATCCTCCCCTGGTTCCAGTAGTGGACCCTGACTGGGAAACTGTGGTTGGGATTGGATTTGCCTTTCCAGTATGTAAAAATATTTGGCAAGGCAGAAGAAAGAAAGGAGAATGAAGAGGTGCTGGGAAGGTCACAGAGGGAGAGTGATGTTTGCAGGCATCCAGTTGCAGGGGTGAGATCTGGTGGAACAGGAGTTCTGCTTAGCCAGAGTAAAGGTGGGTATGCCAAGAGCGTGGAGTGGGGACATGGGAATCTTGAGTGGGAGCACTGTGTTCCCCACTGCACACCTCTGCCTGCACAGGGGAAACAGTATTTCAGTTTGAATACTCTTAGTCACACCAGTATGGGGTGCCAGCAGCCCTGGGACATGTATTTCAGCACCCATGGTGCAATACGTCTGCCCTGCATGGTATTTCCATGCTAATGAGAGGCTGCTTCTTCCCTGGAGTCAGGAGATAGAGGGGAAAACATAGGGTGCATGGCATGATAGCATGCAGGAGTGGTGGCTTCAGCCAGGTGGGTTTGAGGCTTCTCTCTAGCTGAGATCCCCCACCGTACTGCCAAGGGCTCTTCCAGTAAAGCCTCATTGGAAGTTCATATGCAGCAAGGGTGGTGGATCCGGCAGCAGAGATGGGTCTATCTCCAAGGGCTGCTCAGCCCCTGTGGGTGCAGCTCGGTTGTGGGTGTGGGTAATGAAGCCAAGGCTTGTGTGTGCTTCCCCAGTGGTTTTGACGCTCACCTCCCATTAATTGAATGCTTTTGTCTGAAAACTGTAGGAGCAGGAAGGGGGGAGGGAGTTGCGAAGAATTTTTATTCTCTGAAGGCTGAGCCTTCCCTGACTGCGGAGTGTGTCAGTCATGCGGGAGGGTGAGCAGAGGTACAGGAAGCTGCCTCGGCGTGCCTCTTCGCATACACCGCTTCTCTCAAGCACACCTGAGACTGCCAGCACAGGTATCCTGCTCCCCAGAGCAATGGGCACCTCTTCTCCAGCCTGCCTAGTCTCACAGTCCGGGGAGGGAGACAACATGGCTGTGTGACAGCCTGCCAGCATTTCCCGTCACTCCCTGCGATGCTTTAGTGGGCCCTACTGTCTTTGTTAGGTACTGAAGTAAACATCTGGCTCAGACCCATCATTGCTGCTGATGATTTGCAGCTGAAGCTAGGATTACTCTGGCTGTGTCAGTGTGTAACTTCAGAGGCTTGTCCTACTGGCAGTCATTAGTGGGTTGTTGTGTGTATGCAGCTGTAATGTTTGCCAGGCTCCTCCTGCATGTGTCTCCCCTCTCTCCCCCTCCTGACCCCCCTTCACCCTCACCCTCCCTATCGTGTCTGTCTCTCATTTCCTGTAATTTTGGTCTTCCTCTTACTGCTTTGCATTTTTCCACATAGGTGGTAAGTTGGGCATTTTTGACTTGGAATGCAGCCCCTTGCAGATATACACTAATTGCCTGTTTCCTAATGAAGATAATGCTGTGACACATCCTTAGCATGACTCTGCTAGAGCAGGAAGCACATGAGTCACAGGGTTTGTCTATACTGAGGTCCATTTGTTGCCGGCATACTGATCATAAGTGCAGACTTATTTCACAATAAGCTCAACTGCTTGTAGGGCTGTAGTGCAGCTCGTCTGTCTTCACACTTTACTCTTGTAGACAAACTCTTACTTATCTCTTTATTTATCCCTATCTTGCCACATTTCATTCTCTTTGTAACTAAATAATTTTTGCTAGCTGTGTCTTGGAGATGCATGTTTGCTTCTCTGCAGGGAGGTCATCACCCAGACTGTCACGCTAGAGACTTTTAAGTTGTCTATAGACTGCCAGGTGGTCTTGAACCTGTGTGGCACTGTGTGGAGATGGTGGCTTGTCCTGGACCAAAACAGCCATTCCTCTGCAATGCCTGTTCTCTCAGTGGTGAAGTCAGCCACACTACTGTTCATTTTGGCCAGCATGGGGAAGCTGCAAACTGCTGCATGGAGAAAGCAAACAGAAGAAGGCTGAAGGCTGTCACAGGGAGGAAGGAAAGCATTTGCAAGTCTACTAGAACAGCTCCAGGCTGTACTCGAAGACTGCAATTATGAGCTGTGTTCTGCAAGCTTAGCAACCAGAGAGCCAGGGTTACAGCTGGGCTGTGTTGTCAGGAGCCTTCATGATGTGGGAAGCAGTGCATCACTCTAATCTTCCTGCCTGCCTTCCTTTTGATGGTCCATGCTGGCCACAGGCTGCAGGATCTTCCTTTGCAGCTAGATGAGGCTGACAGTCAAGTGTTGCTGGTTTTCCATCTCTCCCTGACCATACATTATGGAAGAGAAGTAGAGGATGTGCAGTCCAAGCTGTCATGTAATTATAACACTGAAGGACCTGTATTACCAATTGGCGCCCTTCTTTGCACTCTACTCCTGTGTTAATTGCGCTCTTTCTCCTCACACAAGTCACTGGACACAGAGCTGTTCTGCTGTATTTCGACAGCTAAGGTGTACCCTGACCATGGAGAAGTCATCCTCACTCCCTTCTGCTGACTGGCAGCAGTGGCATGCCCAAGATAATATGGTCATTACAGGGACCCATTTTCCCTCTGCCTATACCATGTTTAACAGCTCATGCCAGGCTGTTTTCCTTTCCTCACATCTGTCTGGGCTCCTTTTTTCATGAACTCAGTGTTGTCATTGCTGCCTGCTCACAAGGCTTCCTGCATGCCAAGCATGGGACTTACACACCTGAGGCACCTGGGGGACTGAGTACAGACATCTCTGAGGGGTGATGGAGATTGGAATCCAAGAGCAGTTTAGGGCAGCATCAAGCCGCCAGATGGAGCAGTTCAGGTCCTAAATCAACATAGCCATCCCTTTCCTGTTTGTGGCTCAGCTGGGCAACTTTCAGTCTCAGAGTTGGAGAGAAAGGAGAGCAGTCCTATGGAATTGTCAAGGGATCTGCCTGTGAATCAGAAAAGGTAATGGCTGCTCCTGGGCATCTTACTAAGGGCAGTTGCTACTGAAGGGAGCACTGGAAATCATAAGAGAAAGACCTGGAAAGGGCCTCAGTTGGCTGTTTCCTTATGTCCCACAGCAGGATCAAGTAGAGCTTTTCCATCAGAGGCTGGTAGAGGTGTAAGACACCATGTGGATACCAGGGAGCTTCATCATCACCCTCTTCATTGCCCTCCAGTTTTTAGATGTTTTTCTTTCCAGGTGGGTGTGTGGGACTTGAGGTCTAAATGCACCTTCCCTTTTCTAACTATATTCACGCAAGGCTGCTTGTCTCTGAGTAATCTTGGGAATGCTTTCTTAGAGCTGCCTGCCTTGGGCTTAAATGTGATCTGGGAGATGCAATTCATATGATGTTCCTTATTCACATCATTTTTGTAAGCAGCATGAATATGATGCTGTGTTTCTCTGCCATCCCTTTCAGAATATTGGGAAAAAGATGACCTGCCAAGAGTTCATTGCTAACCTCCAGGGGATGAACAATGGCAAAGACTTTGCGAAAGAGCTTTTGAAGGTAAGGAATGATCTGCAGAATGTGAGTTTTGTTTTCAGTGGTTCAAAACAGAACATCCTCCTTGCATTTCCTGGATCTTAATTGTCAAACAGGACAAACAATGGAAATGTTTCTCCTCCCAGAACGTATATAATATATACATACATATATTGTTTTCCCTCACTTGATGGTGATCAAGACTCTCTGCAGCACGGAGAGGTGAGACTGAACTCCAGTGGGGCCACTTCCAGAGCTGTGCATCTTGTAAACTCATGTGGTCATGCTGTCCCCGAGTGCTGTCTCCTGGTTAAAGAGGACAGAAGCAGACAGTTGGTTTTGACTATTGAATACATAAGGGGTAATCCTGAGCTTTGTGTATGTGCAAGGTGTGTGTGTGCTTTTTTCTTCAAAGGTTCTTTGGGGTTTTCACATTAGAGCAGGAGATGTAATTTCAGATTAGAATGTGTTGTCTGGCACAGGCTGCTTTGCTTCAGGTTTTGTTCATTAAGTTTGTACCAGGAGTTAAATTTGAAGAACAGGGAAGGAGGCTGAGCAGGACAAATCTTGTCTCATTGTCAATAATAATAAGAATGTTTCATTTCTCTTTTGTCTGATTGCTGGCATGAAACAGCAGTCTGTTTGAAGAGAGGAGCGTATACAATAGAGTTCATAATATTTTTTTTTTTTTTGGTAATGGAAATAAAAATGAGAGGTTGCTGCATCCAAGAGCTGACCCAAAGCCTACTGAAGTAATTCAGAAGAATTGCTGTCTCTTCTGTGGGTTTTGTGTTGGGTGCATTGTGTAATGTGAGTGTACCAGCATAGTTACAAGTAGGAGACTTTGTTTTCTAGTATTGGTGGTTTCTTCAGTTTCTCCAGCCTCTTCAGGGAGCTTTTTGTTGGGCCCAGCTGCCTCAGTTCTCACTAAGGAGCTAGGAATATAAACTCAACACCCTTGTTTGTAGATTTAATGTCTTTACTTTTAAACATGGATACAGAGAATTTATCAGTCAGCAGCAACACTTAATTTTTTTTTTCCCCAAGAAATCTCATTTTTCAGTCTGACATAGAGAGGTATGTTGAGATTAATTTACAGGCTAATTACAGCCTTTATTGAATAAATAGGTCTCCAGACTGTGTTTAAATAACCTTCTGAGTGTACTG